ATACAAGATAAAAATAGATTTTTTATATAGTACCAAAAAAAATTGTCTTTTCTTATTTTTTTAATGAAGCTACAGAGATAAGTTACAATCGCGACTAAAGGATCAGACGAATTAAGCTTGATTATTCTGAGCTCCTCAAAGGAGACGGTATCCTTTTTCACTGTGAGAAGTGCGAGGTTCCGGCCGCGCTTTACGATCATCCTCATTAGCAGTATAAATAGCCCAAGTAATGGTTTTCTGCTAACGTGAGGCGCACGTACGCATTGCCGGCGGCCGTCTCTCATTACGATTATCCGTTGCATCCGAAGTGTTCGGCGCGTCACTGAAACGTCCATTATCCGGGCATCCGGATATCTGTCATTGGCCGTATACGCCAATCGGAAGGCCCCGGCAATTGAAGACATCCGGGACATACTTGTTGCACAAAATTAAGACCTGCGCTCCTGGCTCCTGCCTTCAGACCGAAGGACAGCGCCCGTAGAGAGACGCAGAGTCTCGCGCGGGACACGGGTTTATCTCGCGCACGTGGCAAAATAAATGAATAAATAAACAATATTCGAATGTCAAAGCGTATCTCTCTCGGGACGCGATAGAAAAGAGAGCCTCTCCTCCTCCCCGCGATGTTGCACAATGCATGCATTCCACATAACGAATCGCGTATCTTTGAGGATTCTCTCGCGGATTCGCATAATTCACGGACGAATACATGCGTATTCAAGAGGATCAATTGACTGCCCCCGTTATTTAATGGAAGACGTTCCATTGGTTATTCATTAGAATGATTGAAGATGCGCATACGAGGTCTCACCTCGGAAGACTAGTATTATACAGTATTTTTTTTTGTTTTTCTGTAAACAATTAAAAAATGATAATTTCTGAATTTTACTATTGTAGCAAATGAACGATAAGATATCTTCAAGACGTCAAAAGACATTTTAAAGATGTCTTTATATCCCGATTTTAGTTGTTCAGATGATCTTTTCCTCTTCTGGCTGCCATCACGTTGCAGACACTTCGTACTTTTGCATAAACGTGAGAAACAGCATTGATATAACGTTGCACAACGTCGGAGGGCCGCTGAGGGTCTATTAACATTATAGCGTACCCATTAACGTTAACACGCGGACATTTGCAATATAATACTGCAAATTGCACTCGTAGCGGATAAATATAATTTTTGCACGTTCGCGTAATGATCGCGTAATTTATAATCTATCTTCCTCTTGATTGAAATAATTTTAAGATATATATGTATATACTAGTGGCAGTAGTGATTATACACACACACACACACACACAAACGATTGAAAGGGAAAATTTCTTGAGCGAGCCTTATTAATTTATTTTAATATCTAATATCGGATATTTAAAAAAAACAACGATAGGCTAAATTATTCCCCATGGATTTATCGCAAATAATTCAAGCTAAAGCAGACATTTCTCGTCTAAAATATAGCCAGACGATTGCAAGAATGCGCTTTCTACACTCGTGGCCCCGCGAATGTCTTATTTATTATCATTATTTATAACAGGACGGATCGCGCGACTCCCACGTTCCCACGACACGACGTCCATCGTGTGGACTGCGAGGCGTGCGATTTCGAACTTTACCGCGGTAAAGAAACGATATATCACTAGTCACAGATGATTTCTCTAATCGTCGTGGACATCACGTTGATGACAGCCGTGACAGGTCCCCACGTGGGCGTTAATATCAGCATAAAACTTTGTGGCAAAGTATCGACGCGACGCGACGTGACGCCGGACCGTGACAGATTTATGCGTGTCACGTGTTGCCGAAGAGAAACGGCAAGATTTAAAAGGAACTCAATTTAATATGACGAGTGTGACGCGTGTAAATTGCCGTTGTATTTTGTGTAATTATATAGGTACTGAAAGAAATGACTAAATCTTAATGTATTTGTTTGAATACTACGTAAACATTTACTTACAGTAAAGAAATATTTACTCAATAAAAAATTATAGTTAAATTAAACTAAAGCTAAAGATATTTAAGCAGTATGTGTGCTTATTATTAATTCACAAAATTGACTATATTTGCATGGTTAAACTAACTATAAGTTGTTAAACAAAAATGACTGTAAATTATATAATTAAATGATGATAATTATACAAACCTTTTCTCTCTCTCAGTGCTTATTTTTAAAGAGCTTGCCCTGGAACGGTAACAAATGATTTATCTATCTCTTTCTTTCGACGTGATTAATATTTCAAGACACGTTCTTCGGTGGTCGCGACATTAGCATACAATACGAGAGATCGATAGCGATTTATAGGAATAACTTTGCTTCTGCGTGTGCCCTAAGCAAGTGACGAGAACATTCGCGTTGCATTGGCGGAAATTAATTTGGCGATTTGTAATAATTGAAAAAATTAAGGTCGTTGAGGAGGAGGCCTCGCTGTTTCCTGGAGGCTCTCGTGATTCATTCGCTCGATCACGGCGTAATTCTCGGCCCGCGTTCGTCCACGCGCGATGCAGGATCGCGGCGCGGCGGTCCATAAATTTGTTTTCGCGCGCCAATCCCGCGACCGGAACCGGGCCGAGCGAACAGTTAAGCGATTCTTAAGCGGTTAAGTGACTGTAAAAAGGTACTGCGGAGGCGTCAAGTCGCGACGCGTCTCTTCGCGAATCGCACGATGATTCATCACACGCGCGCGCCGTGTCGTCCCCTGCTCGCTTCGACGGCGCCACTTCCGGCTGCCGCTGCGTGCCGCACGCTGCACCGACGACGACAACGCAGTCCTGCGGCTTGGTGCAGCGACCGAGATACGTTTCGTCTTGGAGATTCCACGATAACGTAACGATTAGATCACGTATGTAGCCGAGAACAATTTTATGCACACAAGGAAGTGATTCCGCATTACATGTAATTATAATTCGTATTATTAGATCGACAAGAATAAATCAATTAAGAGAAATAATGAAGAAAGGATGTGACCAATAATCGCATTATCCGAGATTTCGGGCAACTTCTAGCATGGACATAAGATTTTATGTTGGAATCTAATTTATTATAACATACACTCTATGTCTATAAGATCACATGAAGTTCGGAAACACTTTATTTAGAGAATTATTGTTAAAAGATATATTGGTGCGAATATTTAAATAAGTAATCCCAAAAATATATCAATTTTTAGAAAATGTTTTCTTATGACTCGTATATAATATAATCATAAAGAACAAAGGTTCGATATGATTATTTTTCAATATATTTTCTCTCTGATCAAAATGACTTTTCTTGACTCATAATCAGTCTAATTACATCTAGCTCTATGTGAGTGCGTACATATATTATCCAGCTGGATATTATCTCTTTCCGAATCTAGAATCGTCAAATGATATTATGACTTGATATTAGCATAATTACTTCTATGCAAAGAATAACGTTTTAATTGCATAAGTCTTTAATTAAAAAATTGTAGTAAAAACACAACGTGCACATATTGCAGAAGATAAATTGGAGTTCTTAATGATAAATTCTTATTAATATAATAATATCGCCCTTCATAAGATAGATAGTTTCCTACTGTAGAACCGGGACTCTGAACTCGACGGACGAGAGTTCTCACACCTTTCTAGTGGTCCATTATCTTCCGTCTGCTGAGCCGCGCCGGTGGTCGCGGCCTCAACGAGCTAATTTTGCGAACGCCGGCTCGTCGTCGTCTGGTCTTTCTCACCGCGGCGGCGGGGAGGGAAAAGGGCGCACGCCGGTTGTTTCATCGCCTTGAAACAGTAGCCGGGAATGGGTTCGAGGAAGTCGACCGAGAAAACGGTAGGAGGGCGATGGCAGCGGGGAAAGAATCGGGGTAAGACGAGAGATACAACTAGAAAAACGCGAAGAGTGGAACGGTGAGAAAAGGGACAGGGTGAGATTTCAGGAGGGGGGGGGGGGGGGGGGGGGGGGGGGGGGGGGGGGGGGGGGGGGGGGGGGGGGGGGGGGGGGGGGGGGGGGGGGGGGGGGGGGAGACGCGGAAACGCGGGAAGGCGAGAAAAGGGTCGTCACTTATTTGGGTCGAGAAAGAAGCATGGTTGCGACGTCGTGACCCCAGAAAATTAGATAATTTCGATTCACGTCCGCGAAGTAATTATCGTTCTCGAATTGACTTCGCCGGACGTAACAGAGGAATCAATTAAACGGACCGAAAGTTAACTTGGCGAGTTCAGACGACCTCGTGAAGCGCCACTCGAAAGAGAGTTGATCGAGATCTCGGATGGCAATCGCGACGGGCCACAACGATGTTCTTATTATTAACATTATTTCGCATCTTTGAATTCTACGAGATGAATTTAGTAGCTTTTTCTCGACAAGTAAGAATCTTTTGTGAGAAACTTAAATGAATGTTATTTTTGAAAGATTATGACGTTATTTCGCGCGTTTTCTTTACGCTTAAATACATGTTTTATTTTGCGTCATATATTTTAAAAGATTTGTAACATTTCAAAATTTTAATAAATTCTGAAAAGCATAGTTTTCTATTTTGTTGAAGTGTCTAAAAAATTTAGCTAGATACAGACTTAAAAATAATTTTATTGGTTTATCAAAATAATTACATAGGAATCTCAAGTACGATGAGTAATGCTGCAAAAAGTTTTGACGTTTCAACAACCAGTTTGAGTTCTATATAATTATTTTGATAATGCAAAATTATTTAAAAAATTTTCATTTTATGGACACATCAATTTTCAACTTATATTTTTGATATCGTTGACATTTAAAAAGATCATCGTCAGCATTATGTACGCAGCGTTCGTAATAAGTAGACGCCGAACGAGCGCAGAGAGAGACACATTTATAAATTTCTATCCGTAAAAGTTCCAAGAAGCAAGAACGCGCTTCCGGTAGTTACTCTTTATTCGCGCCGTATATGTGCGTTGTAATTGTCCCGTCGCTATTATACACGCAACGTTACGTAAGCGACCGTTTCTGAGCCGATGATGAGGCTTTAAGGAAGCCATTATGGCATTTTGTTTCCAGGCGAACGTGAGCCAGGCCGAGTACGAGAGAGCGCACAGAGAGTACCTGAAACAAGTGCAGCTGTCGCACGATGGACAGAAGTTTAGAACGCGACGGGACCTCCATGTATTCCAGGCTGCTGGTAAGATCATCTGAACTCTCCTACCGTCAAATCCTGCTGGAAGTCGGATTCGTCGCAACTTTCGCGGAAACGGAGATTATTTATGCGGCGCATATATTCCTATTTTCTACGAACCCGTTCTACAATGAATAAATAATAATGAATGTAATGTTAATTTAGCATATTATAAATATTAATTTTATGAAGAAGTATGCTTCCAAAGTTTGTTTCCAAATTCTGTCGAATGTTATTTTTTAAGTTAATTTTTTCGTAATGTTTGTATTACTTTTTATTCATCTTTTATTGAATGAATTGTTTGGGATACGTACCCAGATAGTAAGCATATTGTCGTTATTTTGACATAAAAATATTGTCATAAATGTCATTTTGACGGCAGAAATAATAATGAATAACATCAATTTGTTATTTGGGAATGTTTATGTTAATAGAATAATAATTCTATATAATTGGAACATTCATATGTTACATTTAATACATTTGATATATCCCAAACGGTCCACGTAAGTTTTTCTGTTAATTTATTACAAAATAAACATATAAAAATTAACATAAAAAAATGTAACACTTTACACAATTTGAAAGCAAATTTTTTGGAAGCGTGTTTCTTCAGTAAAGTTAACATTTATAATATATATTAGTTTATTTTTATTTATTCATTTTAGAATTTACTTTTTTAAAACTTTATTATTAATATGTTTATTTATTTACTCATAAATTATTTCAACATTAATTATAAAAAATGTTATATATTAATTTTATACAAAATATTTAAATAACATATTCCCATTTATCTTAAATTACTACTTGAGTATATAAAAACATAAAAATTTAACAGAAACCGGTTTTGACACAAGTACGAAATGTTTTAACGAGATTTTTAACTGTATTGCCATTTATTATTCGAATAATTGCTGCGATCATTTAACAAATTAAACAGATGTAAAAATACATGATAAAGAGTGATTCTCTAGTGACTGTAAATTACGAAGAATTGCGCGACCGAGAATTGTTTCTTGTAATCACGTATGATCTCTCCGAGATGTGCGTTCTATAAGAAAAAACAATCGAATAGATATGCAATCGCTGATCTAATCGATCTAATTTTAATTTTAGAATTAAATTAATCTCAGAGTCTTAGTTGGAATTCTGCTTCTTCCACGAATTAGGTCTGCACTGAGATGCCGGTTGCATGCGAGCGAAAAACCTTCTCCGCGCACACACTCTACGTATCCAACAAAAACAAATGCGGAAAACGGGGTTGCAGGCGGCGGGGAGCGGGACAGTAGAGGAAGGTGCAACGATGCAGTTTTCCACCGCGGCCTGTCGATACGTCATCACGACTCGGCGGAGCGCATTCAAGTCTCGGCACGGCCGGCGTGGCGCGGCGCGTTTCGGTTTCACGACGTCGGCCTCTCAGCGATCGATCGTTCGAAGGATGGGCAATAAAAGTCGCGTCTCGGGGAAGAAAAACGGCCGTGCAGAAACGGGACATCTTGCCGCGATGCGAGAGCAGTAACGAGAGGCGCCACGGCGCGCCGATGTATTTACTTTTCTCGAGTCGACGAACTCGTCGCGAGAAATTTTTCCGCGAGTCTCGTCTCGTTTTGCATTCGCCGTCGCGTTCGAGAGGTACGATTTCGCGAAAGCGAATAGCGTATTCCACGCGACACTCGACATCTTTAGACATCCGAAACATGTTCTGAAAAGTCCCGTTTATGTTTATAGATATCTAAAATACGCTCCAAGCCCAAGAGAACACATAATGACTTTATTTTGATTCTTAATGTCAATAAACAGTCAAATTTTGTAATAAAAAAATCATCTTTTTGATTTACATGACGCCAATGTAAAGTCATTTTGACTTTCTCTTGACTCAGTGCGGTGTTCCTTGGGTACGTCCATGTATAGGCGCAGCATAAGAGTCTTGCATAACGCATAATACATTTATAAGAAAATGAACTAAAAGTCCTTCATTTCCTTTCTTTTCATGAAATAAAAAAACTCTGATTGATTGATTTGCCTATGCTTTATGCATTATGCGTTATGCAAAGTTCTGTGCTCCAGCCTTATAGCGAACGGGACGTTTGGACAACTATAAGGCTTGAATTGCTGCGTGGAATTCGCCATCGCGATCGGAACGTAATCGATCAATCGTGCGCGCGCGCTCGCGACGGGGGATCCCTCGCGGCAGGAGGAAAAAGAAGTTTGCCGGAAGCGAGATCTAAAAGCGTGTTTCTTCAAGGATACTGGGAAAATATACGCACGCTATTATTGGCCGTCCACCTAATTTCTCTCGCGGCGCGCGGCTGAGAGAGGAAAAATACTTCGCCGACTTCGCGAAGAGCGAACGGTTATAGTTTAATAATGCGTTGAAAGGAACTGTCGTCGGGCTCGACGACGTCTCGCAATCGAGGTGGCCGATAGGATGTGTAACATTCATTAAAATGCTGTAAGGCTGACGACCCCAAAATCAAACTGGCCAAACTAAAGTCGCAGAGAACACAAGTCATTATAACATAAAAGTGACGTCAAAATGGCTCCAAAAGGATATAGAAGTCACTTTTCACTCAGTAATCACAATGATTCATTTTGACGTCATTGTGTCTTGTTGTTTTGCTTGGGATGACAGTAATGGGGCTTGGTAATACATTACGTTTGCAATCACATGCATTATTTATGTATTATTTCGTTTTTATTTACACGCGATTTATAAGTTACTTATTCGAGACCAATTTCGTGATATGATAGGTACATTTTAAGAACTATATATTTACGAAATTAAGGAACAGAGAAATCTTATTTTCCAAGCTATTGATACACACAAAAAATATTTTCCTGATAAGAAAAATGATTGTTATTATAAATAAGTTTACTTTTTTTCTTTGAGAGGTTATCTTTAAAAAGAATTTTCTTGATAACAGTCTTAAAATATACTCTTTACAAATAAAAAATTCATTTAATTAACTCGTCATGTACTCAAATATTTATTCATTTTTGAAGAATATTAAAAAATTGCCCTTAAAGTCCAACATACCGATGGAGAGTTAAATGCAGTATATATTTTTTTGTGTAATAATAAATTATACATTAATAATACTCAATTATTGGGACCAAGCAATTTTCCATGTTAATTATCTAAATTTATGGTAAAATTAATAATAATCGTAGAAGCAAATTAATGACATGATGCAGCGTGGTGATCAATTAAATTAATCTTGAAATTTAACTTTAGAAATAATTTGCTCAAGTCTCGGTTAAATTAATTTTGTGTGCGTCTTCGATATATCCATATTAATTTTAAAAAGTGATTGCTCAGTCGGTCGTTCCACTCTTGTGGAGAAATACTATTGAATTAGTGAAAAAAACTGAAAAAAATTACAACGAATAGTATACAACTTTTTTTTTCTATAAGGATAATTATTTTCACCGTGCCAGATTCGCGAAATCCGAGATGCGCTGGTCCGTCCGCGCCTTTCGTCGCGTCGACAAATTAAGACGTGGATCCCGCTAATGAATCCCACAAGCGGCGGCTCGTCGGCGCGCGACTCCGCTCAATTACAGCCGCCCTGAAAATAGTGGGTCAAAGAGATAAAAGTCGGCACGCATCTGGTTGAAAACGGGACGGGACGGGATGGCTGGCGACCACCGCGGTGTGCGCGCGGTTTTACGCCGGCCCGCATAACACGTACCTAGCACGCCGCGAGTGGGCTCGAGTCCGTCTCAGTCGAGTCGAAACCAGTCTGAAGTGGGTACTTGTCTATACACCAGCTATAGAGGTGCGTAAAGCAGAAGAAGAGCAGGAGGCGGAGGAGGAGGAGGAGGAGGAGGAGGAGAGGAATGGTCTCTCTTGATAGCTGGCCTCTCCCCGGAGTGCGCGCACGATGGGCCCCGTCGTGTGTGCACGGCTGTTATTATGAAATAGAAATTCCGACCGCGGCGGAATGCCGAACGACGAGTTCCCGAATGCAATAAGAACGAATCGCCGTGGCAGAAACACACTGCAAGAAGTAGTTCCCACAAGAAGTAGTCTACCTTGCTTTATCCGCGAGACGTCGTTGCGAGGATATGCCGATATGTGAGAGATCATGAAGCAGCGGAACCCCCCCCCCCTTCAGCCCTCTTCTATCCCATCCCTATCACCTCTTGAACCACCGTTGCTCTGAATTTATAATTTCACCCCCCGTGTACTTTCGAGTACTTACTGCTATTACTTGGGTTGGTATAGAAAGACCCTCTGTAAAAAGATCTACCACTTGGAGTTTACTTTTAATTTTGTTAAAAAACAGTTTTTTCGAGAAACATATAGATACTCTTAGCTTTTTTATTTCTTTTTAAAAGATCATTTTAATTACCCCGGGGTAATTGTGTCCCGCTGAGTACTTATTAATCGCAGCTTAATTAGTCCGAGTAATACCTAAAAATAGCTAATGAAGGAGAATACAGGAGGAGTGAGATTATAGACTAGAACTTGAATTCGTCTCCGGGAATTTCAAATTTATATGGTTACGAGTAGGGTTGTTACCTCGGCTGTTAAAAGTTAATTTACAGTTCTCGAAGTTTTTGAAGCTTTTAGAACTAAAACATCATTGATAACGAAAGATAGTCGGGAGAAACTCTCTCTGGCCTGTTACTTTTGAAAACTACGAAGATTCGAAGCTGATTCTGAACTTTCGAACTTTCAAAGTTTAAGTGTTTCGAAGCCTCTAGCTTCAAGGTTTTCGAAGTTTTTACAAACTTTGAAAGCATTTACAAAGATTCGAAGTTATTTATTTCGAAAATTCGAATTCTTTCAAAGCTTCGAATCCTCGAAGTTGTCAACAAGTCGTGAGAGGATCTCGCTGTTATTTTCCGTTATCGGTCATGCTCTAGAAGCGTGACCTCCAAAATGTCAATGGTTTCGATGATTCTATGAAGAGTAGCGCTGGTTAAATGTGGGGCACCGAGAAATGCAGATGCCGTCGGTTATTCTTCAGAGTATTATGGCATGTCAGATCGATTGG